ATTTGTATACACAAGGAGTGCAATGCGCACTACCCAAAGGATGGACATATTTGAAACACGGACTTGGTGGGGGGGGACCAAGGGCAACACACATAACCTAAACATCTGTACTACATAATATGCTGAAATAAAAAAAAAAAAAATCATCCAAAGAAGCTAAGTGTAGGTGGTATGCACCTATAGTCCCAGCTACTTGGGAAACTGAGTGGGAGGATTGCTTTAGTCCAGCCTGGGCAACACACTGAAATTCTATCTCTTAAAAAGATAAAACCAAACAAAAAAATTCAACAACTATCTAAAAGCTTCCCACTATACTAAGACCCAAACTATTGTATTAATACATATCCTAGCTTACAAAGCACTGTTTAGTTGTTATTTGGTGTCTGTGGGAGACTGGTTCCAGGTCCTCCCAAAGATATCAAAATCCACTGGTGCTCAAGGCTCTGGTATGCACAGTATTTGCATATGACCTATGCACAATCTCCTGTGTACTTTCAATCAGCTCTTAGATTACTTATAATACCTAATACAATGTAAAGGCTATGTATGCTATGTAAATAGTTATTACACTGTATTGTTCAGGGAATCATAAGAAAAAGTCTATACGTGTTCAGTACAGATGCAATTTTTTAGTATTTTCAACTCACGGTTGGTTGAATCCATGGATGGGAAACCCACAGATATGGAGGGCCGACTATATGTGATCTGACCCCATCTACCTCTCTAATCTTACCTCATACCATTTTTCCTAGTTTCCACTACACTCCAACCACATTAGTGCTGTTTCTCAAAAAAGTCACTTCATTTTCTTTATGTCTTTGTGTCACTTGGTTTTTTCGCTTTTGTTTTTGTTTTGGTCTGGAATGTACTTTCCACTGATTTTCATACATTAGGAACTTTCTTAGCATTCCTGTCGCAGCTTATATGTTACCTCATCTGCAAAGCCTTTCCCAAACATCATTTATTCATTAAAAACATTTTCATGAAGTACATACTTCATGCCACTTGTTCTAGACACTGAGGGAAAAGTACTCAATCTCATTAGTAATCAGGGAAATGAACATTAAATCCATAATGAGAAACCTCTTCATAGTCACAGAAGGCTAAAATTAGAAAGACTGACAATTCCACATGTTGATGAGGACGTAGAACAGTAAGAACTTTCTTCACTGCTCATCAGAATGTAAACTGGCATAACCACTTGCAGCAATGTTCTTAACGGACCAAATTGGAAATAATCCAAATGTTCATCAACAGAATAAATAAATCATGGCATATTTATACAAAGGAAAATTACACAGCACTGAAAATTAACAACCCATAGCCACATTTTAAAATGACAAAGTAAAATCTCACAATGTTAAGCAAAAGAGGATAAAAAAAAGTAAAGCCATTTATATAAAGTTTAAAAACGTAAACGATTGTATTAAAAGTCGAGATCACAGTTACCTTTGAAGAGGAGGGAGTAGTGGTTGGGAGAAAGAGTATGATGGGGTTCTGGGGTCTGTTTCTGGGACCTGGGTGGTAGCTATGATTGTGATCATTTTGTGATAATTTACTGAGCTGTAAACTTTTGACCTGGGTACTTTTCTGTATGTTATACTTCTATATGAAAAAATTTTTAAAAGTTTATTCTTTAAATTATTAAGTTTTTATGATTATGAAGCCATTCTATTATAGAATGTTAAGGAAAATAACCAGGGAACTACACTAGGTCTCCTTTATGAGGAAGCAATAGTGAAATTTCTATTCAGTCTTCGTATCAGGAATAGTTGTGGTGCTTCTAATTGGTCTGTTTTTATATAAACACTCTGAAATGTTTAAGTAACCAGGTTTCCCCTTTTGTGCTGACTTAGCTGAAAACCTTATTAAGTTTGAGGCCCAATTATAGGAAATATATATTTTTGTGATATGTATTTTTACACTGGTCTTATTCACGGTTCCATATTATGTTTCTACAGTTGTTTTTCCTTCTTTTTTTCCCCAAAATTGTGGTTTGCTACTTTGTAGCATTTGTAGATTTACCTAATCCTATCTGGAATAAGGAAGAGTACTAATGAATAAAAATACTTTAAAGGACTTTTTCCTTTCTTTTTAAAAAGATACATAGTTTGGTTTCTAGTCTTTAATTTGCACAGTCTAGCTCTTATATTTTAATAGTAGCAAATTCTACACTGTTGATTAATTTTGTTTTCATGTTTTTATAAGGTAAGTCTGCTTTTATAGGCTACACACAAAAAACCGACATCAAAGTTAAACTTCATGTGAATTATTTTCTGATAGTGCTGACGAGGAGAACATGATTATTTTTAGTCAAGGCACATGACAGGCAAAATTAATGTTTGTTGACTGATTTTTAGACTAGTTTTAGAAATAAAGTCAATCTATATACAATTTTCTTAATTCAGCACCATTAAGGCTTCCCTATCATTAGATGTCAAAATTTTAAATGGGAGATGGCTTTATTCTAGTCCTAATTTCCCTTGAGAACACCTTTCTGAACATGAAATAATTTCTATGGTTTTCAAGAGAGTAAGGATTTCTAGAACATGCTTATTTGTTCTTTCATATGTGGCTATATAGATATCAGATTATAAAAAATATACACAAATAGGTAAAGACTATATATAAGATCCTGAATCCCTCAAATGTTATCATAGCTGAAAATTAATATTTACAGGAATGATCTCCCAAATTTCAAAACAAATTGAACTACATCTAAGATTTATCATTTTTGTTTATGCTTTGTTTCTTGTTCATTTAGAATTTATTCTTAGATTGACTACTGGAGTCTAGGAGGTATTACCCAAAACATTCAGACTTTAACTGAAGGGTGTAATACCAGGAAAGGGTAATGTCTAAACTTTTTCCTTTGAGGTTTAAATTCATCCAGTGGTCAAAATGAGTTTCTTTCTTTTTTCTCTTTCTTCTTCTTCTTTTTTAAACAAATGAGGTTTATGCTACCCTTTCCAATCTCATCACTATGAATAATCATTATTTTATAAATAATTCAAAATAAGAAACATGGGTTTCCATTTATGTGTAGCCAGATATTTATAATTAGAAAATAATAAAGGACAAGGAAATAGACCTAGAGCCACATTAACAAAAAGTATCTCTCTAGTCAAAACATACTAGTTTAAATACTTTAAATTACTCAGTATAGTATCTAGTAAAACTCTTGAAAATTTTGTGAGTTGAAGCTCACAGATTCCAGGTAGTAGCAGTTTTAAAAGCACTCAAATACTAAGAAATCTGTTAACTGATATTAGGCAAGTATCCTTTTTTGCAATCTCAGTGATACCACCACAAGGGGGAAAAGAAGACAAGAGGAAAAAGACTTCCCTCTGTCCACAACGGTAAATACCACAAATCTATTCTATAGGTATAAGGAAAATTTTAATTTAATCAAAGTAACTTTGACATCCAGGCAAACTATCAAGAGTTTTCATAACACAATAAAAAAATAAAATATTTGCCATGAAAATATTAACTGATCATTTTAGGTCATGATTAAGAGGTTTAAGGAAAATAAATCCTCAATATGAGAACAGAAAAATCCTTGTTAAAAAGAACAATCTTCAAAAATATTATTATCAATTATAACCAAGAATACATAGAAAATATTTAACATAAAAGAATCAGTCTTATAATCAGTAACAAAGTGTTGTTACAATACAGAGGAAGGAAGGAAGAAATATGTGAAGATCAAAATTTATCACTTACCTCATGATTCAGCTCTGCTATCTGATCTTTCAGTTCCCTAATATACTGGTTAGAATCAGACTTGTTAAGCTGTCCTTGAAGCTTTCCTTCTTCTTTCTGTTGTGTGACAAAACAACAAAGCAAAAACAAGAGGCGATTTTTCACAGCATGTACTCAAATATTTCAAGATACAGGACAGCATAAGCACATACCCTTTAATTCACTGCATTCTAAACAAAGTCATTCTCAAACTACCTCTGAAAAATAATTCATAGTGAACTAGAATGAATATTTCTAAATAATGTTTAATGGAAGTGGTTTACAATAAATATAATTTACAGAATGTACCTTTTTAGGAAGTCTTAGAAATCAATCATTGAATGGGTCTCCTCATGAAAAAGTTACCCAAGAATTTCAAAGGCATTTATTTAGTTATTTTGAGGGCAGATGATTCTCTATCCATACGTAAGAGATTCAATGCTTACCCAAGAAGATGGCGAGCTTCCCATAACTACACTGGGAATCTGCTTTTGCTTGGAGAACAGAGAAGGGGAAAAAGAAAAAATTTCCAAATCACTCTAAAAAGGGGAAGACTGTTCTGAGTCTCCTGTTTAATTTGCTCAGGAATATGTATTTGGAGTCCCAGATATATTACAACTGATTAAAAGACGCTCCTGATCCTAAGAGTTGGTGAGTGAGTTTTAGAAGAGTGTTGGGACCATTTTCCAGGGATAGGGACTGGGAAGGCGAGGAGTTGCCTTTTTCTTACACCACCTGAAAACAAGTATGAATTTTTAAGATCAAGAGCTTAGTAAAGAGTGAAACTACAATTGTTTTTGGTATCTTCAGATTATTTTTAATTAGGAAGCCCTGTGTTGATGTTTAAAACATTTTGATGCTCTGATCCAGAGACATCTACTGAAACTACTTAATAACTCCTGAAATCAGAAGAGTGTCAGCTTATTTTTAACAGATGCCAATCACCCAGTTTCCTTCCATGGAGACAACTATTGTTAAAAGTTTTTTAGTGTAGACTTTCCATGATGTTGTGTACATATATAATCAAACACACACAAATACATACACACATACTACAGACACTATACATGCTGTTCTGCACTTTGCTATCATCTCTCAGTAAGATCATTGAGATCACTGATATTGAAGATCATTCAATATCAGTACATACAGAGCAGAAAGATATACATTCTGATTTTAGAGAGCTTTGAAGTCCCTGTAAAAGTTACTTTACTGCTATCTAAGTATTTATAGTTGTTTTTTTTTTAAAGACCAGGGTCTTGCTCTGTTGCCCAGGCTGGAGTACAGTATGGCGATCATAGCTCACTGCAGCCTTGAACTCCTGAGCTCAAGTGATCCTCCTGTCTCAGCTTTCCAAGTAGCTGGGACTACAGGTGTGCACACCCAGCTAATTTTTTTTAGAGACGGGTCCTGCTATGTTGCCCAGGCTGGTCTTGAACTCCTGGCCTCAAGTGATCCTCCTGCCTCGGCCTCCCAAAGTGCTGGGATTACAGGCATGAGCCACCAAGCCTGGCTCACAGATTTTTTAAAAGTAGGTTTAAAATGTGTATTAGGTCCTGCACAATTACCTTGAGAGTAATGAGTTGCACTGAAGGACATTTTCCAACGTGGAAATTCTTATTGCTGTCTTTCGATCACAGTAAGAAGGGGCCTTGAACATCCTCTGGTTTAGTCCTCTGACTGAAGCCAAGTCCACTCTCCACTTTTGTCCTGCATACACTTCCCTAACATTCTTGGCAGGAAGAACTAACTAAAACTGCTCTAGCAACAGAACAGATAGTTTCCCTGTAGAGTCAGGGGACCATTCCAACAAGACTGCTCTTCTGCATTAACTGTCCTTCCTTCCTAAATTGCATCCCTGATTAACCATAGTCTATTCTTCAAATCCTTTCATCAAGTTATTCCTATAAGCCCCCCTTTTTTTGTTGTTTTGTTCTTTCTGACAACCTGTCTTTAAAACCTTTTATTGGAATATGGCCTATTGAAGTGATTTAGTATAATTAATATTTGTGTATGTGTAGATGTAAAAGCACAACTATAGCTTCTATAGGCTTAAAACATTTTTCTTATACAGTTATGTGCCACATAATGACATTTTCATGAACAATGAACTACATATTATGATGGTGGTCCCCTAAGATTATAATGGAGATGAAAAGCTCCCATTGCCTAGTGACACAGTAGACACCATAATGTCTCAGTGCAACACATCATTCACGTCTGTGGTGATGCTAGTATAAAAAGATCTGTGCTGCCACTCATATAAAAGTGGCACATACAATTACGTATAGTACGTAATACTTGATAATGACAATAAATGACTATGCTACAGGTTTACGTATTTACTATACTATACTTTTTATCATTATTGTGGAGTATACTCCTTCTACTTACATAAAAAATAAAAGTTAACTGTAAAACAACCTCAGGCAGGTCCTCAGGAGATATTCCAGAAGAAGGCACTGTTATCACAGGAGGTGACAGCTCCATGTGTTGTTGCCCCTGAAGCCCTTCCAGCGGGACAAAATGTGGAGGTGGAAGACAACGACATCCCGGGATGGGGAACCTGCAGCCTTCTGCTTTCAAGATTGCTATTTTTTAAGCACCAAAGAAGGCAAGAAAAACTTCACTTTTTTCTATTGCACCTCTTTTAATAAAAGGATTTGTTCTATAAAATTTGGACTCAGTTAAGAGGCCACAGTCAAAGATCCAGAAGACCACATGTGGCCAAGGCCACAGGTTTTTGTCTTAGTTTTTAACAAAAAAGTTTAAAAAGTGAAAAAAAAAAAAACTTAAAAATTTAAAAACAGAAAAAAACTTATGGAATATGGATATAAAGAAGATAATTTTGTACAGTTGTACAATGTGTTTGTGTTTTAAGCTAAGTGTTATTACAAAGAGTCAAAAAGTTAAAAAAACATTTTTTAAGTTTATAAAGTAAAAAATTGCAGTAAGCTAAGGTTAACTTATTACTGAATTTTTTTTTTTTTTTTTACAAATTTAGTGCAGCCTAAATGTACAGTGTATATAAAGTCTACAGTAGTGTACAGTAACATCACAGGCCTTCATACTCACTCAACATTCACTCAAAGCAACTTCTAGTCCTACAAGCTTTATTTATGGTAAATGGCCTATACAGGTGTACCATTTTTTATCTTTTATATCGTATTTTTACTGTACCTTTTCTATGTTTAGATATGTTAAGATAAACAAATGCCATTGTGTTACAATTACGTACAGTATTCAGTACAGTAACATGCTGTACAGGTTTGTAGCCCTGGAGCAACAGGCTATAAGTAGGCTTTGCCATCTAGGTTTGTGTAAGTATACTCTATGATGTTCGTACAACAATGAAATCATCAAATGATGAATTTTTCAGAATGTATTCCTGTAGTTAAGAAATGCATATTTAAACACATGAATATCAGATACAATATTCTAAGCAAAGAAATGTCTTATTTAACAATTATTATATTCCAAATATTCTAGGCTTCTAAAGTATATATAAAAGACACCTTATGATTTTAGTCATAAGCCCATATTTAAGAAAAAATATATTCTTCTTTTAAAAATTTAGTTAGAAATATTAGTTCAATGCAATGGCCAGAGAAAAGGCTAAAAAGCAAAGGCACAGTAGTGATACTAAGTTAGAGTTCTGATCAAATCATCTCTGAGGCTTTCTCTGTTTTTTCACTTACAGGAAAAAATAAAGTCCCTTTATTATTTAAAACAGTTTTTTTTTTAAGAGACAAAGTCTCACTCTGTCACCCAGGCTAGGGTACAGTGGCACAGTCATAACTCACTATAACCTTGAACTCCCAGGCTAAAGTGATCCTCCTGCCTCAGCCTCCAGAGTAGCTAGGACTATAAGCATGCACCACCATGCCTGGCAAATTCTTTTTTAAAAATTTTGCAGAGACAGGGTGTGGGGGGTCTCACTATATTATTCAGGCTGGTCCCAAACTCCTGGTCTCAAGCGATCCTTCCTGCTAAGCTTCTCAAAGTGCTGGGATTACAAGTGTGAGCCACCATGGCTGGCCTAAACCAATTTGAATACTGATTCTTGTCACTTGCAACCAAAATAATAATAGCTAAGTACTATAAGCCCTTCTCATTTGAGATTCCCAAAGGATTAAGCTCTACTGCCTACAGTATCATTATATGTAAATGATTTAATTCCTATGCATCTAGAGTGGTACTATGTACCATCCTTGGAAGAACTGAGAAAATACAGTTGACCTTTGAACAACACGGGTTTGAACTGTGTGGGTCCACAAATACATGGATTTTCTTCCACCTCTGCCACCCCTGAGACAACAAGACCAATTCGTCCTCTTTCTCCTCCTCAGCCTAAACAACATGAAGACAATGAAAACTTTTTTTTTTTTTTGAGACAGAGTCTCACTGTGTTGCCCAGGCTAGAGTGCTGTGGCATCATCCTCGCTCATAGCAACCTCAAACTCCTGGGCTCAAGAGATCCTCCTGCCTCAGCCTCCTGAGTAGCTGGGACTACAGGCATGTGCCACCAAGCCCGGCTAATTTTTTCTATATATTTTTAGTTGTTCAATTAATTTCTTTCTATTTTTAGTAGAGACGGGGTCTTGCTCTTGCTCAGGCTGGTTTCGAACTCCTGAGCTCAAACAATCTGCCCGCCTCGGCCTCCCAGAGGGCTAGGATTACAGGCGTGAGCCACCGGCCAAGACAATGAAAACTTTTATGATGATCTACTTCTGCTTAACGAATAGTAAAATATATTTTCTCTTCCTTATGATTTTCTTTTAATAACATTTTCTATCTCTAGCTTACTTTATTGTAAGAATACAGTATATAATACATATAACATAGAAAAATGTGTTAATTGACTATTTCTATTATCAGTAAGGCTTCTTGTCAACAGTAGACTATTTAGTAGTTAAGTTTTTGGGAAGCCAAAAGTTATGTGCAGATTTTCAACTGCAAAGGGGTTCAGTTCCCTTAACCCCTGCATTGTTCAAGGGTCAACTGTAGTTACTCAAATTATTTTCTGTAGGGCTTAATTCTCTTGTGGAGCTCTGGTGGAGAAAGACTGGCACTTACAG